TTTCTGATGTTCCAAATCCCTTCCCCCACCACAATCCTAACCTAATAATCCTCCATTTGTGTTTAACCCCTAATTCTTCTTTTATTTTAAGTTTGTATTTAAATAAAAAACAGGAAGACAAATTTCTTGCACTCAGACTAAAGTTCAAACTAAACTACTTTTTTTCAAGATCAGAGTTTATTAAGTACTGATTACACAAAGTTTGAAAGGAGGAAATGGAATTATACTAACACTTTAAAAAAAATTACAGGAAACTGAGTAGGAAAAAGGTTTCCTGTGTTATTTCCTTATACCAAGTCTAGAACAGCACCAATGGGATGTTTTCTACTATATCATCCCAATTCATCTTGGAATGAAATTTGAACATATGTTAAATTAAGTTCTGATTCAGATTGTATTAGTAGACACCACCTGGAAATGTCTCCTTGTGCTGTACCACATATTTATTCATCTCTCTTCAAAATGGATTGCAGAAATCCTATTATTCATAGTCATTTTTCGAGTAATGCAATAATGCCTCTAATAATAAATTTCATGTGCTAGGAACCAAATCCTGGAGTCTTTACTCTGCCAAAAGACCCCTTGACTTCAGTCAGAGTATTGACTAAGGATTTCAGGACTGCGTCCAAAAGGCCTAATCCAACTCCCATTCAAGGTGATGGAAAGACTCATTGACTTCAGTGGGAGTTGGATCAGGCCCAAAGTAGTTATCCACAATAGTGTCTAATACTGTGATTTAGAGTTAAAAAACAGATTAAGGGTCTAATTTTTCAAACAGGGCCTCAATTTTTCAGGTCTATTTTGGTGCCTATACTTAAATTGTGCCAATATTTTTTGCACTGACAATGACCTACAGGCACAAATGCCGTTATAGCTAAATATCAAACAACCCAAAGGGCCCCACAAATCACCTTCTCAGATCTGAAACGGACAGCATTTGTACCCCGCCAATGCAATTAAACGCTGGAGTAAAATGTGCTACAAAACATGGAGGCTCAGTTTGAAAATCTGGCTCGAAATAATTATATATAAATAAGATTAAAGGACTAAAGTGGGACTAGGCTTATTTACATCAGTTGAAGGTTATGGAGGGGGTGCCACCTGTACCTGTTATTTCAGACCAAAGAGGTCTGAAAAAACCTTTGGTCTGAAATAACCTTTATTTGTTGATCTTCAGGACTTTGGGGGAGGGATCTATTGCTTAAGAAAATGTGGAGGAAGGGGTCTATTGCTTAAGAAAATGTCGAGGAAGGGGTATGTTATTGTCAGGCTGCATTAGTTATTGCCATCTATGGTTATTTGTGATTTTTAAATAATGGCTAAAGGTGCCTAGAGACTGATAGTTGCTAATTTTGTTTTATAAATATAAACAAATAAAGGTGGAATATGGTACTAATCAATATGAATGAAAGTGGCAGAATCGAGTCCTTACTATCTAATATGCAAAATTCAATCATTCATAATGGGTCTCTCCATCATTAGTGCAAATTACTGAGGTTCAACTGTATATTGCAAAACAATTTAAGGCTCGCTGAGACACACTAACAAGTTCCAAAATATCAAGCAGTATGAGATTGCCTCACTCTGAAGTCTGCTATTAGCCATGTGTACTGAAAGCAAATGCCTCCTGGGCTGCTCTCCTCGGGTGGTAGAATAAAGGTCTATAGAACGCCACCTGGTGTGGGCAGGATTATCCCCCACACGCTCCAATAGAACGGAGTGAGTTACAGAACCGATGTGTGCAAACGTGCTAACCCAAAGGGTATTGGAATCATTGGAATGTCAGATATTTTTTAAAGAGTTCCTGGATCACTCTAAAATATGCAGGGAAAAATAAGCCAAGGGATTCTGTTTTAATCAGTTGTGCCCATATATTCAGCCTTCTGGAGTATGATTCCAAACTACACCTGGAAGATCACTGCCTTTCTGCTCCCTCTAAATGGTATGGGCTTTTTTAGTGGGAATAGTAACCAAATCTGCCAGTGATGTCTTATTATTGGGCACAATGTAATAAGGAAGGAAACGATAACACTGGCCTGGAAACGGCTAACTTCCACCTTCTGAGGCAGAAGGGACACAGTGGATGGGGTATGTCACAGCAATGGGCAAACTGACAATGTCATTAAATAATAAATACCAAGACTGTGTGGTGACCGGGCAGTCTTAGAGCAACAACATGAGTTAAAAGGACTTAAAACTGTTAAACTGCACTGACTTAGAAAACTTTTTGGAAGTTGAAAGTTAAACCTCATTACAGGATGCAAGCCACTTGGGTTGCAAAGCTAAGAGAATAGGGAAGGTCATACAAATGGGCTACACAAGAAAAAAAAACACCAAGCCTTCTTAATAAAATGGACTTTAACTTTAGTCAGAAGGGGTTTGTTTTCTCTTTTCTTCTGGGGAATGTAGAAAGGAGGGGAGACAGGATAATAGGTGGAGCTAAGAGTAAAAACATTGGGAGAAGGAAACAACTCAAATACCCTGCAGAGGGTAAAAAGTAGCATGGGTGAAAAGAAGAGATTATGACAAACACAATTACTGGTAAGTAATTGTCTCTTTCCCGTGCCTACACACTATAAATTCACCCTGAAATCCTACACAAGGCCTGATCCTGAGAAATACTGAGCATCTACAACTCCCTTTTGAATTTAATGGGAATTGTAGCCTCTCAGCACCTCTAAGGATCAGGCTCACAGTATGTATATTTAAGAAGAAAGTGGAAGAACCTCAAACAGTAATTTGTAGAGCTTTGGCCATGTCAGCCTCTGCTAATGAAGGAGCCTTCCCCACATTGTCTAACAAGAGAATTAAAAGCCCATTAGACCCTCTGGGCTAGTTGACCTTCCTCTTTAAAATACACTTCTGTGAGTCATTCCATCATTGATCCATCACTTAACAGAATAGTCTATTTAGAAAGCATGATAAATATCTTTTTAAAATACTACTTGAAATGTAGACCTTCAGTGTATAATATATCTTTAAACTGTACCGTGTATGTTTGAGTTAGCTCGGAAGCATCTCAAGGCAGGGACCAGACCTTTCTATATGTGTACCACACCAAGTACACAACTGGTACTCAAAATAAAATAATCAGGCTTATATGAATCCAGGAACCAACCATGAGAGTTTGTACAGTGGAAGGTGTTTGCATGACAAGGAAAGTGTAAGGACTTCTTGACATGCCGAGAGGATCTTACAACAGCAGATAAAATGGCTTCATTCACGTGACTGTCCATAATAAACAGTAGCTTTTCCCGCAGAGCACCAATGAAGGAGACTACTTAGTTAAAACTCCTTTGTCCACTACAGCTAATAACGTGAATTTGGGTCAACAACAAAACCCACAATTCATTGTATCCCAACCATACTGAAAGAGCATCTAAGCTAAAATCAGTCCCCAGAGGAATTCCACACATGTTCCCAACAGATCATTAATGCCTTGAGCAAAGTTAGTCTCAGCAGTTGGAGTGTGTCTGAAGTCAGACAGAAATATATTATATATATCAGTACTCTCTAAGTGTTCCTGTAGCGATATGGCTGCCATTCAAGACCTGTAACAGTTACATCTTACATGTATATGGCACTTATCACCTTAAAAATCCCAAACACAAATTAAATACAGTGGGAACCCTTAAAAATTAGACACTTACTGCTTTTGCTATTATTTATATTGACTGTATTCCTTATACATTTAGAATGGGGAACTACTGCAAATAACATTTACTTATAATCAAATGGCAGGTTTTTTTAAGGGCACTATGTGTATACAGGCATTGCTTCACCTATCTGTGAAATGTAGCCATCTCTGGGGCAGACCTTAGAGGCTATTTAACAATGCATAGCAGCGCTACTTTTAAAGAAGATTAGTGGGCTTGATTCTCAGTTACAGTAAGGCCGCTTTATGCCACTATGGCAACAGAGGATTTTTAAGGAGATGAAAATAGTTCTGGAAGAACAACATGTTCAGAGATCTTCCCTGATAATGCAGAGCTGGTGTAAGGGTGCTGCACCAGCCCTACACCTAGCCTTTGTCAGAGGCAGAGTGGAGGTCTATCCGGCGTGTACTGTGGCTATTCTCTGCTTTCTAGTGCCTACAGTGTCACATGACCAGGAGATGGGCAGTTGTCCCTAGTGGTTGTAGCAGGAGTCAAGCCTAATGGTTCAAACAAGCATCAGGCCTAGTGGTTAGAACAGGAGTTGGTAGTCAGGAATTGGAGCCCAGGGATTCAGAGGCCAGGTGCTAAAGCCCAGGGTCAGAGCCGTTGTCAGAGGTCAGGAATTGGAACCAAGGATCAGAATTGGGCTACCTGGAGTGAGGCAATGCAGGGGCAGGGCTGGGAACAAGGCAGGAGCTATCACAGCCACAGGCACATGCTTTGAGCAGCCAGTGAACTGCTGCTGCTGGCCTTAAGAGTCTGTCTGCTGTCTCTTCCAACCAATCAGGCAGCCTATAACGGGCCAGTTGCACTTGTTAGGTTGCCTGAAGACTGGCTCTACAGGGCCTGCTCCCAGAGTGACTCTGCTGCAGGCCCTGACTCCTGACACGTGGGAAGCCATGGAAAGCTGTTTAAATTAGAGTAGCTCTTAGGCTGCTCTAACTCACAACAGAGATCAAGCAAGTCCCTGCATAGTCTCTCAGGTGTGAACACAGGTAGCTAAAATCAATCTCCACCACCATCCCATGCCTGCTGTCAGTGAGAATCAGGCCCTCATATTTAATTGAAACTACCGGGAAATTTAGTTGGAATTTGACTAAGACTCCATAGCTGATGCAGTTTTTGCAAGAATAAAGGTAACTGGATCTTTCGTGTCCACAAGAGTTCTGGACCTTGATTTTGCATCCCATTCAAAAGCGGACACTTCAAGTAATATAAAGTCTAACACAATGCAGGGCCATTTGTTCAATACTGGCTCAGGCTAAATAACCTTTAATAAATCACCAATATCACTAAGTTGCATGTGTTATCTCAGAACCAGAAATGATAGCATTTATCACTCACTTCTAGTAGAAGTCCACCTTCTGGTATGGCAGTCTCACTGGATAGATGGTCTTTTATTGTGTGACCAACTTGCTTCCTAAAGTGCTTTTCTTGAATGGCTGTTGAAAAAAGTAATTAACAATATATAAATATTACTGACGAGGGCTTTTAGATACTGAAAACGTACTGTTGGTCCTAGAGAGAGAAACACATATTTCACAACTCAGATGTTTTTATATAAAGTCCTTTCCTTGCTTGTCATTATACCTATCACGTTATTTTTACTGGTTATGTTTTTTCCATTATTATACTCTACATATAAAAAACAACAACAAAACCATAGGAAAGCAGCAGAGAAGACAATTGACGTGTTGCCATGCTGCTTTTGTTTACAAAAGAATACATGTTATGAAAATTCTAACTAATGGCAACACTGTTCAGAAGATTGTCAGAGTGGATACAGGATATGAATGAGTTTTCTTATTTTCTATTTTGACCTCTTGTTTGGCATGAAATGATCTTGGCCTCTCACTTCTATAAATTTGAGATTAGTTCTAAGACTCAAGTGTATATTCTTGAAATGCCTTTTTTTCAAATGTGAAGTCAAAGTTTGTTTTTTTAGCATGGAAAGCATGAAAACTTTGGATTAAAATTGCAAAATTTTCTCTGGTAATACCAAGAGTCCTGACGGAAACAAAGGCAGATTACTTTGGCTGACTGCTTTTCCTATGTATGGGCTGTAAATATTGGTTCTGAAATATCTTTAGATAATCATATTTAACTCTCTTCCGGAATAAATATGAAGTTGAATCCCTGAAAGAGTGATGATTTCAGATCCACTCTCATTTTTGAGGATAATGAAAGAATCACCCAGAAGACAGAGTTGATTATACACATCATCTGCTAGGTGAGTATCTGGATCATTGAGGGAGTATGGAGTGTGAAGCAAACCTTGTGATTCTGTCAATAATGAAGCTAAAGATTCAGCTTCATTATTACTGCTGGGCTTTTAGTTATTTGACCTGGATCATCTTGAAACAGTTATGATGGCTAATTGAGATGAGACATTCACTACTGTTCAAATATACCAATCTAACATATTCGATCTATAGAAATACAGTTCTTACTTGGTTTTGCTCTGTTGATATGAAGGGACAGTGAGACGGGTCTGCCATTAAGTGGACCCAGGGAAGTTGGTACATACAGGCTACTCCAAACGTAATCCCATAGGTGCTGGAACTAGGGGTACTGGGGGTGCTGCTGCATCCTCTGACTTGAAGAGGTTTCCATTATATACAGGGTTTACAGTTTGGTTCAATGACTCTCAGGACCCCCACTGTACAAATTGTTCCAGCACCCCTGCATCAGCCTGGAGTAACAGCCACAGGTTAATAACCCCAAAATAGGGATGAAACAATCTGAAATAATTCATTCCACATAGGAATATATATATAAAAAAGTCTGGAATGTTACTTGGCTCTTTGCTAAATGTAGTGATGACAACTGGATGCAATTTTTGAATAAGAGCCCAGAGTAAAAACTGAATAAAAATGTTCATGGATTTAACAGTATTAGTTGAAAATGACAAAGGGCGTGGTCCAAAGTCTATTGGAGTGATTTCTCCTTATTTCATAGGCTTTAGATCAGGTTCTTATTAACTTGAGATTCTATAAAGAGTCAAGAGACACGTTATCTTTTCAGATCACATGATGGCAACACAGATACCACAGTTCTGGAAGTTACTCAATAAATTTGAATTGGTTTTTAGTTCAGATAGTGAATATTTACTGCTAGTGATACTGTGGACTCATATTTCCTAAATTGTAATCTCAAGTATAGATAATAAATTCCTCACCTGAGTTGTGGAAAACACACTAGGATATCCCAAAACTACATGAAACAGGACTAAGGGTGGGTTTCCATGCAAATTTTTCCAGCCACCATGATTTCATGTTTTCAACCCTGCAAGCCATTCTGCAAAATGGATGTGAAACTTCTGTGGAAAGGTGCACATTTTTAGGGGATGGGTTTTGTAGTCTGTCTTGGTTTAAATGTGAGGTTTATTGGGAAAGGTCACATGATGTATCTTTTGCATGACCCTGCTCAACTGAGCTTGCTCCTAGGATTAGTAAGGTCAGTCGTAATGCCATTTGCAGCTGGGTATTACAGAGAGGGTGTAACTGCAATTTCTGAAAGCAGAGCCCCCATCCTATTGCTCCCCTAACCCCCAAAAGTACATTTTCATAATTCTCTACACAGAGGCTCATTATCTTTGTGTAGGTTAAAGGACAGACAGGGAGTGGCAAGAGGAAATTAAGATTTATTTTTATGAGTTCTTTTGGCTTTGTCAAACATTCCAGTGGGGCTAACTCCATCTTTAAGAGGAAAGCATTATTTTATTTTATTTCATCGAGCAGGCTAGGGTTCCCTGCCTGTTTGTTAGCCTTCAGGCTGACACAAACATAGCAGCAGAGGCACAAGAGATGGTTGTTCCACAGTCCATCTAGTACTAATTCCATTTCCAAATAGGAAGTATTATACTGTACTGTCATTTCACCTACTAGACGTTCCTGTATGTTCAGACACACCCCACTGTTTCATAACACATTGTACACATTGCCCCAAAATGTGAACAGACCCATAGCAGAAGGCAAGGCAGCCCTCCTTGTGCCAAGAAGCAGAATGCGTTTCTCAGAAGCAGAAAAATTGTAACCTGTGCCTGGATCAGCATCGCTTCCTCATCACTATATACTCCCCCTGAGGGTTGAAGACATTGCATTAAAATTAAATATGAATATAAAATTTTTAAGTGGAACCAACCCATCAAGGAAGCAGGGATCAGTCACTAATGCACAAAGAGCTCAGAAGAGAGGCTGATGTTGCTGAGAGTGTGTCATTGATGAAGGCAGCAAACATGGAGACTCAGTGAGGAAGAGCAGGACATATTACAGAGTGTAGAGGAGAAACTGAAAAATATTACCCCATTGGGGGTAACAGGTAAACACAAGCAACAATTAACCTCTGTTTTAGAGTCCTGCTGATGCCCTATCACTGACTAGAGACAGGCAATTTTTTTGGACAAACTTTTCATCGAAAAATGCATTTTGGGGGGTCTGAAAGTATTTACCCAAACTGGGTCAATTTGATGAATACTTTCAGTTGAGAACATTTTTTCAAAAAAGAGTCAAAATATTTTGTTTTGACCATTTTGAAACATTTTGTTTTGACTTTCATTAGAAACAGTATTTTGGTTTCAAATTTGGCCCCAGAGTAAAACAAACAAACAAAAAACCACACAACAAAGAAGGGTGAAAACACCTGAAACAGCCAAATCAAAATGAAAAAAAATGGTTTTATTGACTTGAAACTGATCGGAAAAAAATAATAATTTTGTTTCAATTCAACTTGAAATGTTTGGGTGGATTCAGTTGAGATTTTTCAATTTGATTAACATTTTTCCTAAAAAATTGTTTCTGTTCATATCAAAGCAGAGGATATTTATTTTTCAGTTAAGCCTCTGAACCAAAAAACCCATTACTAACTCAGCTCTCCCAGTGACTGAGTAGTAAGAATTAAACAGGAGTCACTAGAAAGAAAGCAGCAAGTGATCCTGATTGGTGATTTGATAGTGAGGAATCTTGTTCTGAGACACGTGTGGCCAAATTTGAAAATTAAATAGAATGCTGCCTCCATGGGTACAGGACACATGATATAACAAAAAGGATAAAAGAGAGCTTGAAGAATGCCAGGGAAAAATCCTCTAGATGTCATGCATGTGGGAAAAGATGGAGGTATAAGCTGTGTCAAGAGGTGGGGTTTGAATTTATGGAGCCTGGAAAAGCCTTCCATGAAGAGACACAACTGTTTGGATTATACTGTCTCCAATTAAGGGCAGGGGACTAACCTGCCAGGTTCAAAATTAGCAAAGTTGGTTAGGTAGGAATGGACAGAGGGGGGAGCTTTTGCTTAACACAAATTATCTGTTACATATTTCCAACATACAAAATAAAACAGAAGATGGAGCTGTTCTGCAAAAGAAGATGAAAAATAAGAAAAGCTATGTTGATATACAAGAGTGACAAACACATGAAGCATGGGCAACAAATGTGAGAGGATCACAAATTCTAGCAAGCCTGGTGAAATCAGAGGAAGTATCAAAACCCACAACTCTGTAAAGGCTGGAAACTACTAAAAAACACTGTAATTGAAGAACATAAGAATGGCCATACTGGGTCAGACCAATGGTCCATCTAGCCCAGTATTCTCTCTCTGACAGTGGCCAATGCCAGATGCTTCAGAGGGAATGAACAGAACAGGGCAGTTATCAAGTGATCCATCCCCTGTTGTCCATTCCCAGCTTCTGACAGTTAAGAGGCTGAGGACACCCAGAGCATGTGGTTGGATCCCTGATCATCTTGACTAATAGCCATTGATGGCCCTATCCTCCGAGAACTTATATAGTTCTTTTCTGAACCCAGTTAGAGTTTGGGCCTTCACAACATCCCCTGGCAATGAGTTCCACAGGTTGACTGTGCATTTCATGAAGAAGTACTTTGTTATGTTTGCTTTAAAACTGCAGCCTATTAATTTCATTGGGTGACACATGGTTCTTATGTGAAAGGGTAAATAACCCTTCCTGATTCAGTTTCTCCACACCATTCATGATTTTATAGACCTCTATCATATCCCACCATAGTCATCTCTTTTCCAAGCTGAAAAGTTCATCTTTTTAGTCTCTCTTCGTATGGAGTCTGTTCCATACCCCTAATCATTTTGGTTGCCCTCCTCTGCACCTTTTCCAATTCTAATATATCTTTTTTGAGATGGTGTGACCAGAACTGCACATACTATTCAAGGTGTGGGTGTATCGTGGATTGATATAGTGACATTATGATATTTTCTGTCTTATTATCTATCCCTTTCCTAATGGTTCCTAACATTCTGTTACCTTTTTAGACTCCCACTGCACATTGAGCAGATGTTTTCAGAGAACTATTCACAATGACTCCAAGATCTCTTTCTTGAGTTGTAATAGCTTATTTATACCCCATCATTTTATATGTATGGTTGGGATTATGTTTTCCAATGTGAATTACTTTGCATTTATCAACATTGAATT